AATGTTTTAAAACAAGTTTATCCTACGTTTCCTGAATTTGGGGCCAACCCAAGCCTGGAAAAATGAACAGGAAGATCGTCTCAATGTGTTACACATTTTATAATGGCAGTCATGGTTAACTTCTCAGCTTGAAAAGCTACATTTATTTGTTGCAGAAAATTTAGAAAATACACATAAGAATAAAAATATAGATCCTACTCATCAGTTATTTTCTCCTGTGTGTTTTGCTAGGTACTTGTGTGTGTTTGATATTACTCATATTTTTAATCTCACATTAACTTCCTAAAATATCTCCTTATTTACAAAAGCATTACTCTCTCATAGCAAAATTTTAAAAAGAAAATATTAATGATTTAAAATTAAAAATTGAACTAAGAGCCTCCTCCCCAAAGTTAACAACCTGCTTTTCATCCTTCCAGACGGTTTTTTACATGGGTTCAGTCCTTGATATATGTATATGTGTATGAACATTGTGTGTTTTTGAACCCATATACTTTTAAATTTATATCATTTTATATCATATTTTTACCTAGTAATATGCATTAAATATTCTTAGAAAAAAGTTTTGAATATCTACATAACACTCCACTGTATAAGTGCACCTTAATTTATTAAACCCTTACTCAAATGTTAAAGCTCTTGGTTGAGTCTTTTGTGTGTGCCTATGTGTGTGCCCGTGTGTGTGTGTGTGTGTGCGTGTGTGTGTATGTGTGTATGTGCAGCAATGTTGTGATAAGCATTTTTGTCGGTAAAATTTGGCCACATCTCTAATTCAATGCTTAGGATAAAGTCTTAGAGCTAGAATTTCTAGATCAAATTATACATCATATTAATAATCTTAAAAAACTATTATCAAATTGTTTCCAAAACATGTTAACCAATTTACCCCTCAACTGGTCAAAATTCAGTTTAACCGTTTTAAATGCTTTAACTTTTAGAGTGAAAAGTTATGTCTCACTGTTGATCTCATTGACATGCTGGTGATTGCGAGGGAGCTCAGCGGGTTGTTTTTTATATGCTTACTAGCCTTTTAAAAATTGCTTTCCTTTTGTGAATTGCTTACATTTTAACCTATTTTTTCATTGGGTTTAATCTTTTTCTTATGGAAATATAAAAGTATTGAATATATTTTTGAATTTCCAGCATTTATAACAGCGCATCAACCATTATGAGCACTTAGTGTTAAATGAAGGAATATATGCAAGAGCTAGTAATCACTTTTTATATTACAAACATGTGCTGTTAGTTTGCAAATAAATAGCTTAAAATTTTGCTCATTTTTTTAAATTTAAAATAGAATTTTAAAAGCTATTTCTATTTTTCTTCTGTAGCTTCCTTCATATTCTATGTCTGGTAAATTTTTCCTTCATACTTAAATCAGATAAACTTTGGCCTATATTATCTTCTCATTCTATTTTGATAAAATACTTAAATCTTAATATCTAGAAGGGCAAACTTCGTTTCATCACACCTATTTTTCAAAAAGCTCTTGGTAATTCTCTCCAGCTGATCTTTTAGGTAACTTCAAAATTACTTGAATCACCCCACCACACACATACAAATACCATTTGGATTTAGGGAGAACTGCCTTCAACCTATAAGTGACGATACTTGGTCTCTCTGTCCCTCATGTCCCTGGGATCTTTGTTGGAGTACGCTGGAAGGGATGCCAAGGTCACGAAGTCAATATTAAACGATACACACAGCACCCAGAACTCTGCACCAGACTCCAGCTTGCCAGCCGTGCTCATAGATGATTCATTAATTACTAAGTATTTTTAAAACACAGTCACCAAGTCCATGAGATTGGGGTCAAAATAGGCATTGTCTTGTGCTTCAGGTTGGAATATAAATTGAGAGACAGCTTTTAAAAGCAACTGGAAAATGAGTACCGAGGGCTTTAACAATGCCTGCGCTTTTGACCAGGAGACCCACATTTAGGAACGGCCAAGAAAGCAGCGTGAACAAACATATATGCACAAAGATATCCTCTACTATATAAGGAAAAACTAGAATGAGGTGTCTAACATCAAGGAAACCCATTTGGCACATTCCCATATATAGATCTAAGAGAATTTCGTGCAGTTTTCAGAAGTGATTCTTCTAAATCCCAGCAAGATGTACAGCAAACAAACCTAGCGGCTGCCCACGATACTCTGGATGGTAGATTTGGATGAGAGTCTTCTTTTCTTTTTAGTTTTTAAAATAGTTTTCCAAGTTTTGTGCCATAAACAGGTATTTCCTTGATAATTTATTGAAACCTGTTTTAAATGAGCAATTTACATGTTTAAAAATTAATATAACTTTTTGTTATAACAAATCCACACTCATAGAAAGGAAAAAAGGAACAAGGCTAAACACTGCATGAAGTCTGTAAAGAAGAAAGTAAAAATAATCCGAAATCCTGCCTCCTGGAGGTAACCAGCTCTGTACATACACATACCTACATATAGACAAACACACAGAGACACACACATGTTGTTCTGTAAATTACTTTTCCTCATCAGTATGTCATGGACATCCTTCCACAGCAATAAAAGACCATCGACCTCATTCTTTTTTAATGGTCCATGTTAAAATATTTCCACCCATACATCTTGTCACACTGATGTACCATTATTTATTTAACCAATGTTCTATTGATGCACCTGAGGTCGTTTGCAACATTTCACTTAGTCATTAACATACCAATCAATGATCTGGACTGCGGGGGTCAGCCTCTGCTGTAGAGTTAATTCTACTATGAATTCACTATTCAGGTCAGGGCGTCAGTTTCGTCCTTTGTAAGAGGACATGGCGATTCCTGAGATGCCTCCAGCTGTAGCACTCTCTCATTTCTTGCAGTAGCAGCTGGTTTCTTAAGAATATGAAGTGCTCAGTGTAATTGAGAGCAATCTGCACAGCTAAGAATAGTGATCCTCTCTGAAATGATACTGTGGGAGCCCCCAAATCACCACCAGACTTCAACAGTACATATTTCCTGATCTGCAGGGTGACTGGAAGATGGCTTCTGATGACAACTTGGGCTACAACCATGCCGGAATGCAGCTCTGTCTTCAGCCAGGCCAGGAGCATTCAAAGCAGCATAACTGTGCAGCCATCTGCCTTTCTCCCAGTGGTCGAGTGCTCTTTTTTTACACACTGCTCTTAGAGTTCTGCCCACTTTCTTCACCTGCATTTTCCCTAAAACCTCAAACATACATATTAGGAGGCCTTGAGCTCTGTGTTTGCTCTGCAGCAAATCTCTGAATAATCCACCTGCTATCAGCATCACAGCCCTGATAAATGCTCCTAATGGACCTCTTCCCAGCAAAGAGCTTTTGATGTTGTATAGCAAGCACGAGAGTGAGATTCAACCAGGCAGACTGGCTTTATCTAACCACAGCAGCAACAAACCTAAACTGGGCACCGACTACGTGCCAGGGCACACTTTTGTGCATCACTTCATTTCTGAAGACTGGCCAGTTTCTGAAGGCAGTTAGGGAAAACCCTTGTTGAGAATTCCAGCTTTAAAAAGTGCCTCTGACTCCAGATATAAATCCCCACCGTGACAGTAATCACACCTAGCAGCTTATATCTTTCCCAAGTATTCACTTGCTTCGGCCTTGAAGAACTGCTTTCACTGACTTGTGCTTTGGGGCAGACCTTCAGGCATTGAGGGATTTTGCAGGAAACAACATCATGAAACTTGCTGTTTGTTGTTCAAAGAGATGATAAGAATATATTTTGAGACAGTAGAGAGGGCCCTGAAGCTTCTGGGTTGGCCTCTTTGCTTTGGCCACCAGGAAGCTCAGAATCAAACCAGTGTCCCACCACCTATAATATGTACACACCTTTTGATATAATGCATCACATGGATAACTTTTCACCCATGTTTTCCTATCACCCAGATTTTTCTGGGTTATTTTTCATCCTGTTCCGTTTTGTATACCATTGCCTCATACCCATGGTGAATGGGAAGGGAAATAAAGAGATGTTACAAGTCAGAGACAGGACAAAAGACTGGCCCTCTAACTCCCAGCCCTTTCCCCAGCTTTGATGATTGGGCCGCCTGAGGAGGGGGAGTCACTTTGATGGGCTGATCCAAGTCACCCCCAGTCATTGCAACTTCACAACAAAGCGCACCGTGGGCCCTTCCCACATCTTCTTCAACCACCCCACATTGTGTTCTTACCCATCAAAACAGCTGATCTTTTCCCTGCCCACCAGGTGAAGGTGACAAAGTCAGTAAAATCAAAATCACCCTTGAAGGGCCACCTCCTATGGTTCCTAACTTAGATCCTAATTTAGAACTCTAAAGGAGTGGCCTCCCAGGTTCTAAGGTGACTGAGAGAAAGCCTGAATTTAAAAGCAAAACCCAAAACGCCCTCTACCCACTAAGTCCCCATACTGCTGCAGGGCACAGGCAAGAAGTCTGCATCGAGTACACGTCTGCACCAAACTGCACAAGCATCACCTTCTTTCTGGTCATTAAGCTTTGGTGCTTGTCACCTCGCTGCCCGGCCCGCCCTCCCTTCTGATCTATCCACCCCGGTGCGGCTGTGAACCCTGCCTCCTCCAGGAAGCATTCCCTGACCCATTCATTCAGGTCTTCGCTCTGTTTCTACCTATTGCTAGCTCAGCACAATTCATCAGGTAACTGCTTCCAATCCTGCCCCGTCCCCCCACCCTCCTTCCTAGCTGCTACCTTAGCTAAAGCCACGAGGATGCCTGTTCTTGAAGCACCAGTCCAGTTTCCAGTGAGATCACAGAAAGCTACCTGCTTGGCTACACGCCGCGTTTCCTTCTTAACTAAAGTTCAGCCAAAGCTGTCATTAAGACCTGGCCTTAGCCAAGAAGCGATGGTGAATTCCCCATGCTGCAGCATCTTGTAAATGGTTCAGATGAGGATAAACCCCAACACCCAACCCAGCATCACAAAACAACAGTTCGAAAGAAACACCCAAAACAATGTGTATCGATATTTACTGCACTTGTACCCGTGACCTTGAGTTAGCTACCTTGTCTCCCGAGAATTTCTTTTCTGGTGGAAGGTAGGTCGTCACGGTGCCCAGCTCACACTACTAAGTAGCTGCTTACTTCCCTGCTCTGTTTCACTTTCCTCATCCCACTGCGTTGTTGTGAGTCTACGTGAGCTAAGGCATGAAAAGTGCTTAGAATGGAGCCAGCACGCTTCAAAGGCCGGCGACTATTAGTGATACAATTATTGAATCATTGTGACAATGTTGGCACAGTGCCTGGCATTCAGTAGGCACTTGATAAACCCTGGCTGCTGAGGCTGCGTGCTTCTGACTAACTTCTAAGATTTCAAAGCCGTTTACATGTATTTTTCACACACGGTCAACTGAATTCTGTGGTCTTCGTTCAGCTACACAGTCTCACCACTGTGGGAAGAGGACTCTTTTTTTTTATTTTGTAATGAAGCCATGCTTTGGGTGGCAAATCATAAGTTTAGTTTGCTTTTCTTCGTTTTCCTTCTTAAAATTTAATTTAATTTAATGTTGAAACAGGATGTCAGTCTGTCACCCAGGCTGGAGTCTAGTGGCATGACCCTGGCTCCCAACAGCCTCTGCCTCCCGGGCTCGGGTGATTCTCCCACCTCAGCTGCCCGTGGAGCTGGAAATACAGGCACGGGCCATCGTGCCTGGGTAATTTTTGTATTTTTTGTAGAAATGGGGTTTTGTCATGTTGCCAGGCTGATCTTGAACTTGTGGGCTCAAGCAATCTGCCTGCCTCCGCCTCCCAAAGTGCTGAGATGACAGGTGTGAGCCACTGCGCCGGGCCTTTTTTCCTTTTTAAATTAAACTATTTGACTGATTATTTTCCCCTTGGCTCTTCCTTGTTTTAAAATGGCATGAATGAAACAACGTCCCCACAGAAGTCCATACCCTACGGCGCCACTCTTTGTCTGCCACAAACCACTGGGTCCTGGCCCTGGTCCCCTCTGGTCTGGCGCCAAGTGACTCTGTTTCCCCTCCCCCGTTTCCTTCCCCTTCCAGTTTCCCCTGCGGCCTCACAGTGTTGTGTCTCTAGCCAGCTCACTGGTCTTTTCTGGGCTGCTCCATCAACCCCTGCTCCCAAAACCTGTCATTTTTTAATGGCTATTTAAGCCGACTGGTTTTTCAGTCCTTTCTTTAGTTATGATTTCAGTGGCACATTGGTTTTCTAAGTTCACGGTGAATATTTTAAATGCACAACCCTTTCCCCTTTAAACTGTGTCCTGAAAGTTAGGGCATTTAAAACAAGACATGTAATCACACTTTTCCTGGTTTAAATGTAATATACACTTGAAGGAGATTGGAGCATGCCGTCCCCAAATATGCCACTTTGCCTTAAAGACTAATGTGTGCTGAAATCAATCAGCTCTCTGTCCTCCCCCTTTTTGAAAGCAGGGATCAGTGACTCATGCCTGTAACCCCAGCATTTTGGGAGGCTGAGGCAAAAGGATCACTGCAGCCTAGTTCAAGACTAGCCTGGGCAACACAGGGAGACCCCATCTATACAAAAAGTGAAAAAAATTAGCCGAGCCTGATGCTGCACACTTGTGGTCCCAGCTACCCAAGAGTTTGAGGTGGGAGGACTTTGTAAATGTAACGTAAAATTCCATTTGCAAAGGTATCTCCTTCTCATACCAAGAAGAGGAGGACAACCCTTAATCACAGGTGATGGAGACCACTTTTACTACGAAGCACAAGGATGCATCAGATATTACTAAATAACCCTCACTAAATAACCCTTACCTTCCATTAGTCCCCCCCATATATTTGCCTTCTGACAATTGACTGCCCTTAGTTGCCTCTCCAAGATTTACTACCTTTTGTTAAAATGGTATACAACCCTTCTTTGGGTTTTCCCATCTTGCCTGTGAAACCCTCACTTGCATGTGAAATATTTTCTCCTGTACAACTGTCTTTTATCATTTTGGTTCTTAGGCCCAAGTCACTGAACCTAAGAGGGTAAAGGAAAGTTGTTGTTGTTTTATCTCCCCACATAATCATGTTGACATTTTAGAAAATGCACAAATGCCTAAAGAAAAATTTTAATCACTCATAAATAACCTATCTACCCCAAGACAATGAAGCTCCCATTGAGGCGCCTTTTCTTCTAGCCTCCCACCCCCTTCTGCACAGACACAGAGGAAATGTGAGTTGACAGAACAGCACAGAGAGCATGGGGCTGGAGGTGCAGAGAACCTGACTGCTTCACCTCCGAGCCACGTGACCTTAGGCAATCATTTAACCTTCCTCAGCCTTGTTTCCTCATCTGTGAAATGGGGGGAAGATGAGGATCTGCTTCACAAGGTTGTGAGGACTCTAAGACACAGCAAGGGCTGTTTACACACCTGGCACACTGCCAGTGCCCACCAGGTGGTAGTTACTTAAATATAAACTTTCATTCTACTACAGAAATATCAGCAATTGATATTTTACAAAATAGAATTATAATACATTTAAACATGACATATTCAACATTTTATACATTAAAAATAGGCCGGGCGCGGTGGCTCAAGCCTGTAATCCCAGCACTGTGGGAGGCCGAGGCGGGTGGATCACGAGGTCAAGAGATCGAGACCATCCTGGTCAACATGGTGAAACCCCGTCTCTACTAAAAATACAAAAAATTAGCTGGGCATGGTGGTGCATGCCTGTAATCCCAGCTACTCAGGAGGCTGAGGCAGGAGAATTGCCTGAACCCAGGAGGCGGAGGTTGCGGTGAGCCGAGATCGCGCCATTGCACTCCAGCCTGGGTAACAAGAGTGAAACTCTGTCTCAAAAAAAAAAGTTATAATTTACAAATTAAAATATATAGGCCGAGGCGGGAGGATCCCTTGAAGCTAGGAGTTTGAGACCAGCCTGGGCAAAAAAAAAAAAAAAAAAGGAAAAAGAAAGGAAGAAGGGAAAAAAAACTATAAAATGGACGATGTATCAGTGATTACACTGTAAATCTACATGGGCAGCTTGCTCGCTGAACTTTATACACTATCAATAGCGTTTCCCCTCACTACAAGCTGCTCTCTCGTTTTTAATGCTGCCCAGAACTCATTTCACACTGTCTTTGATTTTTAACAGGACAAACTGCTAATTTCAGTGCCATAACAGCACAGCGAGGATAGGATCATAATTGCGATTCCCTGCTCCAAAAAAGCCATCTCCAACTGACGCTCCCTTTGGCTTCATTAACACCTCGGTAGAAGTGGCTTCCTGTGAGCTTGGCCTTTGATGTATAATCGCCAGCTAACGCCGACAAACCAGCTCTGGAGGGATCAAACAGTGAGTGTTTCAACTCCAAGTCTTAGACAGAACTGTTGTATTCTCTCCCAGGCCCTGCAGGCACCTGCAGTTCCCATTTCCTGAGGCCTGGGAAGGAATTTGGAAAAGTGAGAGGCTTTTATACTCTGATCAGGTCACACTGAAACCGCTGGGTCCCTGGAGCCTGGGCTCGAATCCCAGGGAGCTTTCCCTTCTCCTTCAGATGCTTGAAACATACTCAGCAGGTACGAGGGTGGGTGTCTTACCCCATTCCACAGGTTTGGACGCCCGAGTTCAGAAAGCTGAAGTGCCTGGGCCAGTGTTACATGGGACAGCGACAAGGCCAGGATCCCTCCAGGTCTGGCTGAGTCCCTGTCCAGTGCCCTCCCCCACCCATGCTGCTCCCCAGGAAAGATGAGTGTCCTCCTGAGACAGGAGCTCAGAGCAGCCGATGGCTGAAGGTCTAGGGTACAGGACTCCAGCCAATGGCTGGAAGTCAAGGGTACACACTTCCCTTCCTGACCAGGGACCCGCCCTGAGGCTAGGGAGCCCAACACCAGCACAGGCCAACCTGAACCCCACGCGCTGGGCCATTCATCGTCTTGGGGTAGCTCCGGGAAGGTCCTTGTCTGCAGTTCCCACCCAGCCCTGCCTCTCTGGAGCGGGCCTTCCAAACCAGGGGGACAAGGCAAGCTCTGTCCTCGCCATCCCTCCACAACCGCAGTGAATGTGGACCTGCAGATGGGGGCCCCTGCCTTGCCCCCATCTCTCCACCATGGCCTGAACTCTGTACCCTGGAGGAATCCCGCCCTGGGGGCTGGAGGCGTGGGGCAGCAAATGGAGGAGGTGGAGGTCCGACCACCACTGTCTCCCCAACACTGTGGAAGAGGGAACGGAGAACAGAAGATGCAGTCTGTGTGCCTGGGAGCAGCTTGTTTCTGGGTCTAGTCTCTCAGCACCTGGGAGCTTTCGTTGATTAACACCAAGGAGCGGCGTTCAGTGTGTTCCTCCCTCTCCTACCTGGGAAATCGGGCCAAGCCCAAACCACACATCACAGCCCTCCTTCCCGCTGCAGGAATTGAGCCCATCTCTTGAGAGAGAGTAAGCCACTATTCCATTTAAATTGATTTCTTGGCCTCAGCAGCCTCAGGAAGTTCTTTGTGGCCGGTGGCTCCCCCTCTGTGGGAAAGCTGGAGTGGCAAAAGGATAGGGATTCTCAAAAGCAAATGGGGCCGGGTGGGGTGGCGCATGCCTGTAATCCCAGCCCTTTGGGAGGCTAAGGCAGTTGGATTGTTTGAGCCCAGGAGTTTGAGACCAGCCTGGGCAACATGGTGAAACCCCATCTCTACTAAAAATATATATATATATACAAAAATTAACCAGGCGTGGTGGTGCATACCTGTAGTCCCAGCTACGTGGGAGGCTGAGGTCAGAGGATCCCTTGAACCTGGGAGGCCGAGGTTGCAGTGAGCCAAGATTGCGCCACTGTACTCCAGCCTGGGTGACAGAGCAACAAGACCTTCTCTCAAAAAAAAAAGAAAAAAAAAGCAAATGGGAAAAAAACAGGTGCTCAGACTTGTAGCTGAAGCCAAGGGTTATCAGGGACCACGGGATGGGTTTGGGTTGACAGGGTTCAACTCTGGCTCTGAAACTTTGTAGCAGGTTAATCAGCAAGGAATTTCAGCTTTAGACTGGGGACAGTAATCATCCTCAAAACTCAGTTTCCCCAGCTGCAAAACAGCACAATAACAGGAAGAGAACCTGGTGGCAAAACTAAAAACAACTCGAATATCCAGCTACTTGTGAATGAATAAACAAAACCAGTCTAACCGTGCAGTGAAATCACACCCAACAGTGAAAAAGAGCACATATGCATACCTGCTACCGCGTGGACGGGCCTCAAAGACGATATGCGAAGGAAAAAAGCCCAGCAGAAAAGACCACCTATTGCATGATTCCATTTACCTGAAGGCAACACTACAAAGGCAGAGAGTAGATTGGCGGTCGCCTTAGTCTGGGGTGGAAGTGAAGAGTGGCTGCAGATGGGTACCAAGGAATTTTTTTAGGGTGATAGAAACATTATAAAATTGGGCTGGGTGAGATAGCTCACACGTGTAATCCCAGCACTTTGGGAGGCTGAGGTGGGTGGATCACCTGAGGTCAGGAGTTTGAGACCAGCCTGGCCAACATGGTGAAACCCTGTCTCTACTAAAAATATAAAAATGAGCCAGGCTTGGTGGCACACGCCTGTAATCTCAGCTAGTCGGGA